GAGGCTGACGTGGCTCCTGGGTGCTTGGGGATGCAGACTCCAATGTCCTTCAGCTAAGAGCCACTCTAGGCGTTTTTAGGCCTCTTGGCCTTTGGTGCTCTCAGTCTTGTTCTTTTTCAGTCTTATTTTGAGCTAGAGAGAATGCTGCTTATGAGTTCTGACACTCAGAAAATTAAAGGTTGGGCCTACAGGAAATGCAAAAAGCTGACTGTCAAACTTTGCGGTAGTATAAAGGGAGAAAAAAGGCCTTCAGGTTTCTTTCTAGATTGCCTACTCCATTTTGCCCTGGTAGCAACATGATTAAAGGAATAACAATTATATATGTTTGGCTGAAACCCCATTTGAATATACAGATTGAGAGTATCGCAGTTCAGATGTAGGAAGGACTCCAACAACGTTGATACAGAGGACAGGATAGGGGCTACTACTGTTGGGTACCGAACATACCCAGGAAGGTGGTGTGTGATGGGCATTAGTGCTAGAGACGGGGAAATACACAAATACTACGAATTTCGGAGACGAGGATTATTCACGGTGCACTTGCGCACCAACCTGTAAATCTGGTGTGAGTTCAAGTGTATAAAACAATGTTTTCACTGGGGTATGAAAACAAGTAATTTATATTCTCTCTTTTTCCACATTTCCTAAATTTTCTTCAGTGAGCACTTTCATTACTTTGGTGATAACGGTGTTAGCGTTCCTAACTTTCCCAACTGGAAACAAGAGCTGAATGACTAAGCAAAATATTGGCTAAAGTGAGAATCATAAACATTACCTTAAAATGCATATTTGAATACATAGTTTATTCTTCTTTTAATCTAGTTACGTAAGTCCAAAGCCTTTTCTTTTAATTTGGCTCAGTTTAGGGCTCCAGGGTCATCTTTTTTGGTAAACAGTAGCACACCAAGAAATAGGAATTCCAACTCCTATTTCTTCAAAGTGTTATAAATTTACAGACACTTGTGAAATAAACAGTATGGATTCCTTCTAAGAGTTTTACTCTTTGCCAGCCTGTAATCTAATAATTTTCTTGCTCACAGTAATTCCATCACATTTTAAGAGACTTTTCTTTAGTGAGTCTTCTTAAGGCACTCGGCTTGGTTTTAATGGAAAAAGTCCTTTTTCTTCAAGTTTACATGCTATTTAAATAAATTATGTGACACAACAGGTGCTATCACTTAAAACCAACAGTTTCGGTACAAATAAGTGACCCTTAGCAAGCATACAGCTCACCAGGTGGAAGCAGGAGTACAAAAGCACTTCAGAAAATGTACGCAAGCTAAGAAAATGTGATGTGCTGCCCCAGTATGCATGATTTAAGGGAAGGAACGGTGGCAAATACGTGGATGTTGCTTTACAGTATTCATGCACTTTTGGAATCTGAAACTATCCTCTGCTTTTTTTTAAGGTAAGAAATGAAAAATATTTGTTTTTTGTTTTTAGACAGGGTCTCACTCTGTACTTCAGGCTGGTCTTTAACTCACTCTGTAACACAAGCTGGCCTTGAACTTGTGGTAATCCTCCTGCCTCAGCCCCCGAGTGCTGGGATTACAGGTGTGCCACCAAACCCTGCTGAAATGAAAAATATTTGTAAGAGAAGTACAGGGGAACAGAGAGCATGTCAGTTCCTCCTCCTAATCCCATGAGTATCCCAGGAGCTTGGGACGGAATGCACATGTGCACACACACCGGTGGGCAAGTGTGTGTTGGGGGAAGTGGAATTCTGAGCCGCACAAGGGGATGAGGAGTGACTGTCATTAGATGGAGCTTCACTAGGAATCTAGGCCTTCCTTATGCCAAGCAAGGTAGAAATAATTACATGAGGAGATAGTACATCTTATCCAGAGTACACTACTGGGTATAAAGTTAAAAAGGGCAAGGGAAGAGGGAAGATAAAGTTGTGAGAATAAGAAGAGGGAGGAGAAAGGATTTCGACTCATGGTCACATTGCGAATCAAAGAGACAAAGAAAAACAGGGATGCTATGGTTGAGATCTTAAATGTCCAGTAAAGACCATGTGTCCAAGGCTTGGGCCCCAGCCTATGATGCTATTGGGAGGTGGTACCCAGTGGAAGGAAGTTAGGTGAATGGAGGTGTGACGTGTGTCCCAGAAGAGGACACTGGGACCCCAGCCCTTCCTCTCTTTGCTTCCCAGCTGCCACGAGGCGAGCAGCTTTGCTCTGCCCCAAACTCCTCACCACGATTTCTGCCTCATCACAGCACCAAACTGACAGGGCCAAGCAACAATGGACTGAAACCTCTCTAACTGTGGGCCAAAATAAGCTTTTCCTACTTTTAAGTTGCTGATCTTTGTGTCACAGCAATGGAAAGTTGACTAATACAAGGAGTCAAAGAGGAAGACTGTAGACATAATCTCCCAAGCATTTTTTGCAAATACATACTAAATTATTCTGCATATTCTTCAGCTAGTTTGGGTGCCAAAGTTCTGCCACTAAGTGTAGTGGTACCAAAGTGTATCAGGGTAATTCTAGACCTTTAGAAATCTATATGCAGTGAGAGAGAACAACGTACATGCAATCATGACAAGACTAGGTAAGAGTGTCTAAATACAATAGAGTAATGCAGACCTTAGGGGTTAAGTCACGGCAAACCTCCCCCTGAACTCTCTTACAAGGCCTCCAACTCACTTCAGCATTGCTTAATCTCCCTGTTCCATAGAAGCAGTAACAGTTTCACACAACCCCCAGTTACTTATCAAGTTTTAGTGGTTCTTAGTTAAAGACTCCCTAAAAATTAAGTGAAGTCTGTGTGGAAAAACAAGATAATTAAAATGATTGTTTTCAAAACCGGACCATAAAGAATTTCAAACATATAGCGAAGTACAGAGAACAGTATAAAGAAAGCCCCTGTGCTTACCAACAGCCATAACAATTTTCAACATACATCTTTTTAATTTCCTTCTGTCTGTATAATTTTGAAGCAAATCCCACATATCATTTCCTATCATGTGTAAATATTTAAAATATTTTCTCAAAGCTAGAACTCCTCTAAAAAAAACCAAAACGACACCAATGTCACACCAAACAACTAAGTACTCCTTAATATCAAATAACTAGTATTCAAATTTTCAATTCTTATAAAATCCTGAAAGTACCATTTTATAGGTGAAGAAAATGAAACCGAAAGACATTACATAACATGTTCAAAGTCAGCTGGATAGCCCTCATGCCCGTCAGCTGATGAATGAACAATGTGTTTATACATATCGTGGAATACTTTCCAGTTATGAAGAAGGAATGTAGTACGGATAAGTGCTACAAAACAGATGGCACTTGAAAACAACATGCTAAGCGAAAGAAGTCAGTCACTAAAGACTGGGTACTGTATGACTGTATTTATAGGAACTGTCCACAATAGGGGAGCATTTACGGAGACAGGTTAGTGGCTGCAGAGGCCTAGGGAGCGGGGTAGTAGGGAGTGACTGCTAATAGATACAGGACCCCTTTAGGGGGGAGAAGAAAATGTTCTAAAATTGGATTGTGGTGATGACTGCACAATTCTGTGAATATGCTAACAACAGCTGAGTTGCATTGCACTTTAAATTTGAACTATATGGTGTGAGAATTTTGTTTACATAAAGTGGTACACACCTGTAATCCCAGCACTCAGGAGGCTGAGGCAGGAGGATCACCATGAGTTTGCAACAAGCCTCGGCTACATAGTGAGTTTAAGGCCAACCTAAACTACACAGTGAGACCTTTTCTTAAAAAAAACAAAAACAAAAAAAGAAAAGAAAATGAAAGAAAGAAAATGAAAAAAATTATCAAAAGATTTAAAATTTTATCAAACCAAGGAATATTTAGAGATTATCTGCACAGGCACTATACTAGGTTCTATATGAGTTGCACAACGAGTTGAAGACACAAAGCCTAACAAATAGATTATAATTCAAAAGAAAAGGTACAGATGCAAAATATAAGGTGGGCTTACTGACACTGTAGCTGAAATAATGTGCGTACGTGTTTTCTGATTAAACAGAAGCAGCCTGGCAATCAGGCTGAGCTAAAGCCAACAGGCCTGGGTCCTCATCCCTGGGTTGAGGAATGCCGAGGTTAAACAAGTTGCACAGGTTTGCCTTAGCTATGGCTACTGAAGAGAGAGACGGAGACCAGGGAGTTGTGGTTGTGAAAACTTGTAAAGAGAGTGTTTAGAACAGCGACGAAGAGCACAGTAGGAGACTCAATCAGGGGAAAGGGACCGGTTGGGAATCTGAAGCTGCACAGAGTAATCATAACACTGAAAAAAGATTAAAGGAACCTACTGGATCACTCACACACAGGCAGGCTTTCTGAAGATAGCATTTAGCCTCAATGAATAAGGAAACTGCTGTTCAAATTCAAAGTACCTCGATACCAGGGAGTTTTGACTACGAGGTCCAGTTCTGTGCTAAGGCTACTGGCAGTATCTGGCTAAGCTCACATGCCACACAGAGTCCAATATCAGGACTGCACAACAGACAGATGCTTAACTTTTACAAATAAGTCAATTCAGCCTAATTTTAAACTGAGGGAGTTTTCAGGTAACAGCAGTAATCAAAATTTAGAGTCTGCCGGGCGTGGTGGCGCACACCTGCAATCCCAGCACTCGGGAGGCTGAGGCAGAAGATCGCTGTGAGTTTGAGGCCAGCCTGGGCTACAAAGTGAGTTCACGGCCAGCCTGAACTGCATAGTGAGACCCTATCTCAAAAAGACCAAAAAAAAGTTAAAAAAAAGGCAAAACTTACAATCTTACTTAACTGTTTCCTGTTTGAGATACAAGCATAGCCCTCGTCAACAAAATAGAAACTCACATTTGGAGCATTACAAATTACACATCTTTACCTGAACTGTCTAGAAAGTACTTTTCATATTTAGATTAAATGGCTTGGCCTCACGTGGCCTGATGAATCAGCAGACGACATAACCCTACAGCCAAGTTGCCTCCAAGAAAGCACGATGCCATTTGAGCTGCGATCGACGACACTGCACTGGACTCCTTACCTTTCACCACATCAGCCACGTTACAGGTTGGATCAATACTTCCTATATGTTTCGGATGCGCAGGATTAGTGTCATCACCAAACAGAAGTGCTAAACACAAAAGGGAAAGGATAGGATTAAAATACAGCAGGCTGGGCTGGCCAAGCAGGGAAACGTAGGGCTATGTGCAACCCTACCAGCCAAAGGAGCAAGGATGTGCTTTAAGATCTGCCACTGCAGTCCGCACATCCTAGAGCAGTGACTTGTGCGGGGGCCTAAGCTTTTCTCCACCAGCCAGTGTGACAGATGAAGAAACTTACTTCATCCTTAGCCAAGTTCACTCACTTTCTCAGGACTGCTCCAGACATTTGTTCTGATATTTGTTAAATATTTGGAACACACAGTCCATACCATTTGGAGAGGCCTACACAGTGCCTTCACGGCAGCATTTCAAATGCCTCTGTTGTAGAGATTATTTTTCATGCTGTATACACAAACAATATTCTTCAAGTATCTTAAAAAACATTCAAATAATTTCACCATACACAAGATTTGCAAAATTTCATTTCTGAATAAAAGCCAAAAGAAGACCGGAAGAAAAAAACACTCTCTATCCAATTTGTTTGTTTATTTTTTGGTAGTGCTGGGGATCAAACGCAGGGCCTCACAAATGCTAGGCAAGTGTTCTACCACTGAGCTACACCCAAAGCCCTACTCTACTCGTTTTTTTTTTTTTTTT